GTAAAACAAATTGCTTGTTTTTCCTAAATTTATTTTAAAATAAAAAAAAAAAAACAAAACAATCAACATACACTTTCATTTAGTTCACGATTAATAACTGAACGTGGAAAATTTAATATAAGTTGACGAAAATAAGGTAATGTATAAAGTGCTTGAACAATCGAATTAAACCAACAAGTATTTCCAATATTTTTTAATCCAACTGGTTCATCCAGTGATTTTCTTTCAGCAATATCTGATTCATCAATTATTTGTTCGACTGTTTCACGTGATAATTGTAGTGCACTTAATAAATAATTATTTCCAATAAAACAATTTATAGAGACATATGTATCTATCTGTCTTTGGAGAGAGAGAATAACTTTCAAATCTTATATAGTAAAATTTCTTTGAATTTGTTATATTTCTCAAATTGATATTGGAAAATGATATGAATTTTTCTGGATGTGTCGGATGATCAGAAAGATGTTTGTACATTTCTGATTCTGACCCATTAGAAAATATTTCCAACGAGTTCAAAAACTATCATTTTGTGCTCTTTTGAAATATGTCCTTAGAAATTTTGGGTTGATTTTTGTTTAAGAGTAGTGAGGAACTTTTTGAAAGATCTGCAAAAATTAATTTTAATGATGCACCAATAAATTATTTTTTCGAATATGAGAAAAATTATCGAAATCGGTAATTTTATAGAGAGGACATTTCTCTATAAAATTTGATGCTGAACTCAGCTGTAGCTTTTATCCAAGTGAAGCTACAAGCATTTTTTCAAGTGCTCCTTTAAAAGTAAGACTGTTGTCCATTTATTCAAAAATAAGATACCTTGTCGAAAGGCAAGACAAAGTTCAACCAGTGCAATTTGTAGGATAACTTCTGATCTAATATATAAATAAAGATTTCAACATTTAGTTTTGAATCGCAATAGTGAAAATACCAAAACCTTTCGTTCAAACTAATTCTCTTAGCTTCTCAAAGATTATTTCACTATACTTCGAACAAGAGCTTGATACAACATTTTTTAAGTTCGAATCCAAAAAGAACACAAAATGTTGATCTTAATTCATCGAAAATACTTTCTAGCAGGTCAAAAATGAACCAACATCTTATGATTCAAAAAGAAAAACATCTCCTCTTCATTACAATAATCTTTTGCTAATTAATCAAGTGAGTGTTTATTGATTCATTAGAAGTTTCTTTTTAATTTTATTCTAACCGTTCTAAATCGTCATCAATTGTTTGTTGATTATCATTTTCTGGTGATATTTCAATAACATCATCTGTAATTGTATCACCATGATTTCTATCAGATGTTTGTGGTGGTAATGCTGCAGCTGTTGCTTGAACAGGTACATTTGAATTAGAATGAGATTGATTATTATTATTATTATTATTAGTTGATTGTGAAGACGATTGTTGAAGATTATTTCGAAGCTAATTCAGAGAAATAAAAAAAACAAGAAATAAAAGGTCTTTCTTTATTTCAAAAGAACACAAACATTATCGTCAAATAATAGATTAATAACTTGTTCTAATGAATAACGTCCAGTACTATCTTTACATGCTTCTATTGTTTGATTTATAAAATTATCATCGAGGCCAGTAATTTCACGAACCTGTCGTATCACATCACGTCGATCCCGTTTCGTCTAATTAAAATAAAAATTTTTTTAAAGAAACAAAACTGAAAAAAAAATATTTTTTTTTTAGCTACGAACGATGGAAGGATTAGTTTTTTTAGTTTCTGGTACAGCAGCTGTATCCACTGTCATTATCTAATAAAAATAAAATAACAGAAAATAATATTTTTTATTAATTTTCTTTTGTATCTAAGTACGAATATGCCTTATTTTTCTATTGCGTTTCAGATTCGAAAAAGAAGAGAGAACAAATGATCTTGATTGGTTCCACCATATTTGACCGAAATACTTTCATCCTCCATTTATTTCCAAGAGAAAAAAAAAGTTGCACTTTTATTTTTTTTTAAATATCTACTTCATAAAATCTAAAATGCTATTTTTTTTTAAATTTTGAATGAGAGTTCTAAATAGAAGATACACACACACACAACTAATATAACAATGTCTTTATTAATGCCAAGCAGCAAGTATAGCACCAGCTGTTGATAATCCAACCATTGGATAACCAATAGTAATTGCAGCTAGTAACCATGAAAACTTGTCTTTTGAAAATACTTGATTTGGTAACATTGTTGTTAATGTAAAACCTAGCCAACAACAGAAACCTATTTTTAATCCATCAAACCATGATCCTGATGCATGAGTATATTCAATAAAATGTGCCATCACAATAGCCATTACTAAATTACAAATTGAAGATATTATATAACCTTTTTGAGCATTTTTTTGTATAGTTGGATCATTTTTCATTTTATTATAATCTAATTTCATTAGTCTAGCCCATGTTGTTCCAAAAAGTAATGAAGAATGCCATAACATTCCAAGAATCATATTCATTATTGTACATGTTGCAACTGCCCAATAATTAATTGTAACCATATTTAATAGAATACTAATTTATGTTTAAAGAAGAATATACTATCTATGTAATTCTGTTGTAAATGTTAAGATTGAAATGATAGATACAGAAATGCGCGTAAAACATAGCAGCCTATGATAAAAACATACGCGATAGAAGAGGAAAAGAAAAGAAAAAAAACAGAATGATATGTTATTTTTTCGCTGTGCAGTCGGTAGATCTAGGCCAAATGAGATATGAAATAGAAATAACTTTAGACTAGTCACATACATTATTATCAAATGTATTTTTTTATACCCTTAAGTAAAAACAATGACTAACTTTATCGATAGAATAGATAGGCATTTTATACGATGAAATATTTGATTTTTATATATTCAAAAAGAATTATTTAAACAAATTTCAAATCTTATCAATGTCTTTTGTAATTGTATGAAAGCGCTTAATTATTATACTTTCAAAACGAGATTTATTTTTATGTAGAAAAATAAAATTTCAAGAATCTACTGATTCTAATTTTCACTCAAATTTATTAATATCCTTTCAAAGTATGAGATAATCTCGAAAAGAATTTGCAATGTATAAGCTTATATTCCAATATGAACATTCGTATTTGCAACGAGATTAATTTCCTTTTGTTGATTGGTGATGGTAAACAACGAGCGGTCAACCTAAGCGATTTTTCAGTAGAGGACCTACCCTTTGTTGAATTCTGTTAACTACCATATTTATCAACGATCTGTCGCGTTACTTGCAAGCGAAAATCAATGAAATTTATGTTTCCTATAATGAATATACACAATTATTTTTGATCATCAATTTATAATATAATTCGTGGTTCAAAAAACAAAAGCCGTGGTACACATATACTACTCGCCCTGAAAAGGATAATTTGTCATAACAATAACAAAATATATTGCATTATCATTGGTTGTGACTTTTATTAGATATTCAAATCTATCTTTAAATTTCATATGTTTGTAAAATGTCAAAAATGAACAACTTTCGAATTATACAATATCATCGAGCAATGTGTTGGGACATAATATGCTTTGCAATGCTATATTAAATGTCATCGAAAGGTTTCTCTTACAGACGAGTAGAATGCATTATTCAGACTAAGAACTCATGCATGAATACTTTTCAGAATATACTTGTATTAAAGTATTATATATAGTACGAAAAAAGATTCTTGGATTGAGTTTATTATCAGTAATTTCCAAATATGCATAGAAAAAAAAAATTCATTTTATGAAATGTTCTGTTTTCTTTCAGAATGTTATTCGTGAAGTTCTCAAACAAATCTTACAAAGGCTTTTATCTTGTTTATCACTAGAATTAATGTTTTTGTTGAATGATTATCTTATCTAAAATGTTTTAACATTCTCGAGAAATTCATTAGCCTGTATTCATCAGATCAATGATTACATCAATCTATTCACAACAGTTATCTTATTTCAAACACTACATGTACTGTTATAGTCCTTTGGCTTCAAATTCAAGTTGAAATTTTGAATTGTTTTTATAAGTTTTATTGTTTTTTGCTTTATTCTATTTTTTATATGCAATAAAAAATATTTATTGCTTATTGAGACTATAGTCATATAGAGGTCACGACCTGAAACAATTGATTTTACTTCAAAAGGCAACAGCTATTTAATAAGAAATAGAAGAGATGACTCATGTTATGTGTCCGTGATACTTGTTTTATCTTGATTCTTGCAACGTGTGAAACATCTTATAGAGAACAGTCGAGATTTTTCTTCTTTCTTAAGTTTCATATCCCAAGTCCTTATCTTGTGACACGACGAGCTTGAGAAAGGTATGTGGTCTGATGTTTGTTGAAACGCCATTAGAGACATTAAGATCTCTGTGTGATGTAAATTTTATCCGGTTTTTGGTATGTTGTTTCATTTGCTCAAAGTAAAATCTGCATATTATGAATAATCTATGTAATTTGTTACTGATATCATTTTTTTTTAATCAACAAAACTCTATTGGAAACTACCAGTAATGTCGTTTTATATAGTTGTATAAAAGAAAACAAGAATGAAAAAAAAACAAAGTTCTTCCTTTATGAAGGATTTGTACAACACTTATTTGAGCATTTTTCATAAATCTAAAGTACGAATTTTATACAACTCATAAGAATATTTCGATTTAAATACGAAAGAATTCACATATATTAAGATTTTGAGAAGTACAAAGGGCTTGATTCTTCCAGTACTTGACTTAGTTCAATTCATTCTTACCGAGTTATCACAGGACTCGATATCGAGAGATGCGTGTTAGTTCGATTTCTCATCACGTTTGAGAAAATTGAATCTCTCATTGTTAAACTTCTCGTTCTTCAATTTCGTGTCAAGAGATTATATATTGCCTAACCATTACAGAAGAATTCATTGAATAACATATTCAGATAATATTGAACCGAACAAATCTGTTACAGATAGTACGCAAAAAATCTACTTCAAGTAGAACAAAGATAGGTTGCAATGCTTATCGATAATCAACTTTCGAACATTCAGTTTATTCAATTACCATACAAAACACTTTGTAGTAGTCTGTAGCGAGTTGTTTTTTGTGGCATATATAATTGAAGGTGCGTGCATTAAACTCATCGTTCTACTTTGTACAATATTGAGAAATGTTTTTCGCTCAATTTGATGTTCTAAACCAATTCGAAAGTTTTATAATCTCATAAATGATGAGTCCGATTTGTGTCTCAAAGTGAATATACGAATTGAACTAACTTTGAAATTATATATACATATAGTACTGTAACATAATCAAGTAACTCTAGAAAAATATCACAGATGTTATGTTTTGTCTTTTGAAACAAAATAATGATGATAGTTTCACTTAGTTTTGTCTTAAAAATAGTGCTAGAACATGAGTGAAAAAAACAAATTTCTACCTATGATTTCATTGACTTCCTTTATTACTAAACTCTCAGTTGAGCAGAAAGAACCAACTGGAAAAAGAACTCAACACGCATTTTCAAACTATAATGTGCACTGTGCTGTTTCTGTGTACAGACTCATCTGTGAGAATATAATGAGAAGAAGAGAAAAAACTTTCGAACATCATAACAAAAAAGGCAAATGTGACACAGTATATAAAATCATGTTTTAATGAATTTTTTTCGTTCGTTCGTTTTTCTTTGATAACAGAGACGATAACAGATACAAAAAAAGAAGTAAAATACTTAAGTGAAACGAATACAAAAAGAAAATTTCAACATACTATATTAGTACCAGGCATCTTATTTTAAATTTTTTCCTTGAGCAAACACAATACACATCATGAACAAAGAGGAAAAATCAACAATAATAACAACAACTACTGCTACTGCTGTCATGCCATCTGAACATACGAGCATAAGACAACGACGATCTCTTAATGCTTGTATGGTTCAGAACTTTTTGCTCGTTTGGCTCGACAGCAGTATCGATCCAGAGAACAACAATGATTGTAAAAATACCATTTCAAAATTAAAAGAAGTAGTCAGCAGTGTCAATACATTCACGGATGCGGATGAATGTATAGATTTTATCAACGATCTCAAACAAGACAGAGTATTTATGATCGTTTCTGGTACATTGGGACAAACTACAATTCCCATCATACATGAAATGCTTCAGCTTAGTACAGTTTTTATTTTTTGCGCAAACCCAGTTCGGCATGAAGAATGGGCTAAAAAATGGCCAAAAATAAAAGGAATCTTTACAGATATTGCTTTGATCTGTAAAGCTCTTCAACAAGCAGCACAAGAATGTGATCAAAATATGATTTTAATCAGTTTTATCACCACTAGTAGTGAAAGCAGTAAGCAAAGCCTTGACCAATTGGATTCTTCATTCATGTACACCCAAATAATGAAAGAAATTTTATTAACTATTAATTTCCAACAACACCATATTGATGAGTTTCTTACGTACTGTCGTGACGTTTTTGCTAACAATCCGAATGAACTTTATCACGTCAACGAACTTCAACAAGAATATCACAAGCACCTTCCGATTTGGTGGTATACCTACGATTGTTTTCTTCATTGGATGCTCAACCGATCACTACGAACAATGGAAGCCCGTAGCATTATTCGTATAGGATTTTTCATTCGTGATCTTCACGACCACATCGCCAAGCTTCATGCTCAACAGTTTGCTGGAAAATCAACGTCAAATTCATTTATTGTTTATCGTGGTCAAGGACTGTCGAAGGCTGATTTTGACCAATTGATTAAAAGCGAAGGTGGACTTTTATCATTTAATAGTTTTATATCGACTACGATGAACCTTCAAGTATCTCTCGAGTTTGCCCGTAAAGCTATGGAATCCTCCGATCTGATTGGCATTCTATTCGTCATGAAAATAGATCCATCTATCGCTTCAACATCATTTGCTGACATTTGTGACGTTAGCTATTGCAAACAAGAAGCAGAAATGCTCTTCTCCATGCATTCCATTTTTCGCGTTGGGTCAGCAGAACAAATGAACGAAAATAGTCGTCTATGGCAAGTCAACTTAACATTGAGCAATGAAAATGACCCAGATTTGCATGTACTTACCGAATACACACGAGACGAAACGAAAGCATCGATACCATGGCTTCGATTAGCGAAATTGATGATAAAATTGGCTCAGTATACCGAAGCCGAAGATCTATGTAAAACATTGCTTACTCAAGGAAAGTGCCATGACTATGACATAGGAAATATATTTTATCAGCTCGGAGTGATCAAGTTTCACCTAAAAAACTATGCAGAGGCGCTGAAATTTTTTGAAAAATCATTGCAAATTCGGCAAAAACAACTTTCATCTCAACATCCAGATGTAGCAGACTGCTACAATGACATTGCTATCGTGCATGACAGCATAGGTGATTATTCCAAAGCCCTTTCATCTCATCAAAAAGCACAGGAAATTTACCAAACAACTCTGTATCTAAATCATCCTCAATTAGCTACTTCCTACCATAATATTGGTGTTGTGTATAACCACATGGATAACTATTCGAATGCACTTTCATCTCATCAAAAAGCACTGAAAATTCGTCAAGCAACTCTTCCTTCAAACCATCCTCAATTGGCTACTTCTTACAGCAGTCTTGGCTCTGTGTATGATAAAATGGGTGATTATTCAAATGCACTTTCATGCCATCAAAAAGCACTGGCGATTCGTCAAAAAGTTCTTCCTTCCAATCATCCAAGTTTGGCTGTTTCTTACAATGATATTGCTTCCCTGTATTACAAAATGGGTGATTATACGAATGCACTTTCACATCATCAAAAGACACTGGAAATTAACCAAAAATCTCTTCCTTTAAGTCATTTTGATTTGATTGCCTCTTACAACAACATTGCGTCCGTATATGACAAGATGGGTGATTATCCAAATGCACTTTCATTTCATCAAAAAACACTGGAAATTCATCAAAAAGTCCTTCCATCAAATCATCCTCAATTAGGTACTTCATATAACACAATTGGTTCAGTGTACAACAACATGGGTGAGTACATGAATGCGCTTTCATACCATCAAAAAGCATTAGAAATCTATCAAAAAACTCTTCCTTCCAATCATCCTGAATTAATTACTTCTTACAATCACATTGGTTTGGTCTATAACAACGTGTGTGACTATCACGCTGCGCTTTCATATTATCAAAAATCACTAGAAATCAACGAAAAAATTCTTCCTTTACAACATCCTGATTTGACTAATTCTTACAACACTATTGGTTCTGTGTATGAGAAGATTGGTTTCTATTTGAATGCACTTTCGTCTTATCAAAAAGTACTACAAATTCAGCAAACAACTCTTCCTGCAAACAATTCTGAATTAGCTACTTCGTACAGCAACATCGGCTCGGTATATAACAAGATAGGCAATTATTCGGATGCGCTTTCATATCATCAAAAAGCACTAGAAATCTACAAAAAAACTCTTGATTCAAATCATTCGACTTTATCTACTTCTTACAATCACCTTGGCTGGGTTTATTTCAACATGGGTGACTATTCGAATGCACTTTCATCTTATCAAAATGCATTTGAAATTCGTCAAAGAACTCTTCCTTCCGATCATCCTGAATTAGCTACTTCTTACAACTACATTGGTTCGGTGTATAACAAGATGCACGACTATGCGAACGCACTTTCTTATCATGAAAAAGCACTGGAAATCCACCAAAAAACTCTTCCTTCAAATGATCGATGTTTAGCCACTTCTTACAGCTATATAGGCTGGGTTTATATAAGCATGAGTGACTATTCGAACGCATTGTCATCTTATCAAAAAGCACTGGAACTTCGTGAAAAAGATCTTTCGTCAAATCATCCTCAATTAGCTACTTCGTACAACAATGTTGGTTCGGTGTATAACAAAACAGGTGATTATGCGAATGCACTCTCATATTATCAAAAAGCACTTGAAATCAACCAAAAATGTTTCTCTTCAAATCATTTTCGATTATCTTCCTCCTACAAAAACGTTGGCTCTGTGTATGAAAGCATGGGTGACTATTTGAATGCACTGTCATCTTATCAAAAAGTACTGGAGATTCATCAAACCATTTTCCCTCCAGACCATCCTCAATTAGCCATTTCTTACGACAACCTGGGTTCAGTGTATAACAAGATGAATGACTATTCAAATGCAGTTTCATTGTATCAAAAAGTATTGGAAATTCGTCAAAATACTCTTCCTTCAAACCATTCTCAATTAGCTAACTCTTACAACAACATTGGTTCAGTCTATAACAATATGGGCGACTATTCGAATGCAATTTCATCCTATCAAAAAGTACTGGAAATCTGTGAAGCGACTCTTCCTTCAAACCATCCTCATTTAGCTACTTCTTACAGTAGTCTTGGTTCTGTGTATGACAAAATGAACGATTATTTGAATGCACTGTCATGTTATGAAAAAGTATTGAAAATTAAGCGAAGCTTTCTTCCTTCAAATCATCCTGATTTGGCTACTTGTTACAAGAACATTGGTTCAGTTTATACCCACATGGGTGACTTTGCGAAGGCATTCTCATTTTATCTATGTTCAGAGATTATTTCTCAACATTCAGTACATTAAAATCATGCTAATGTTCTAACTTTGCGGAAGAACTTCGAATATGTAAAAATAAAAAAATATAATTGTTTTTTGTTTTGTTCAAAGAAATAAATATAATGATGAGAAAAGACTATTTTTCTTTTGTTTTTCACTTAAGAGATAAGTGCGAACAGACGTACAAATAATCTCTGTCTTATTGAGAGCACACTAGAATTATACCCACTGATGCGCTAACTAATATATGTCCCAAAGATGGACATGTATTGTAAATAAAAGACCAACATGGTATTGTTTGTGCTTCAATGAGAAAAATTTCTCTTTGTCAAATATAGAGCCATCGGACTGATTCATATAGAAGAGAAAGCAGAAAAGAAGATTTTCTGATTCATGCGATGAATTATTCTTTCTACTCCAATGTAATAACAATTCATTGTATGAAGTTAAGACTGCTCATCGTTTGAATGAATTATTTCTCTGTATAGTTGAATGTTTGTTAATTCGCAGAAAAGAAAGAGTAATTCAAGTATATATATAGAAGTAATTGAGTCAATTGATGAAAGAGACGAATAATGGTTGAATACATTCACAACGATAATTTGTTATATGATAGACGAAGATAAGTTTTGTTGTTTTTAGAAGAGAAATTCACAGGTGATTGGTTTGTTTATTCAGATGTCGACGATTATGCTATCCATCAATTTTTAACGTGAAAGAACATAAGAAAAAAAACTGATAAAATAATTACGGAATGAGAAAGAGAAAAGTAAGTGAAGTAGTATCTTTTATATGAAATGAATATTGAACGGACGAAGCATGTAACTATAATCATTGTGAACGATTTCAATATTGTTGTTGTATGTCGTTCGTATGAATAGTGTTTGTCCTAGAAATCAAATAAGTGCGAATTCAAAAATTAATGTATTAATCTGTTCACAAATGAAGATCGTTGAGAGAAGTGAAAAAGAATAAGCATATTGATTCTGTTTTTTTTTGTCTGTGACCGAAACGTTAGAACTTTAAAATTGTATTTGGATTTCTTCTTTTGACTTTGAAGTTTCTTTTTGAACGAAAGTGAATTTCCTTTGTACAACTTTCGGAAAAGTTCAAAAATGACTTTTTATTCTAAAAAAAACCTCTAATGCTCTTTATGAACAATGTTTCCGATAGGTTGTTTAAAGCAAGGTGAATAGATGAAAATTCAACAGAATCAAAAAAAGAAATTTGTTTATGATTACTAGTTCTTAAATCATTGATGTCTCCACTATGTTAAACTTGGGGCATACATGCAGATCGGCTATAAAATGAAGTGAAAGTTTACGAGTATTACCTGATCAAAATAATTTGTTCAATTTCTAGTTTCATGTCTAAAATAAAGAAATTATGTTTTTCTAGAACGTTTTAATCGTTTCTTCAAGTAATTTTGTTTGAAGTCAGTTTTAAATAACTAACAATCGAAACTTCTCAACTATGTCTCTATAATTTTAAGTACAATTTATACTTTTCTCAAGTCAAGTAGTCAGAAAAAATATTAGGTTTTGAGACTTATTTACGAAATTGTTGATGTTAAACGCGTTTCAGTCATATTACTATTAGTCTTTCGTTTATTTAATACAGGAAATTTCTGCAAAAATGCCTGCAGTTAACATGAATACAAAAAAAGGTCAGAACAATCTTTTGTACAAGTATATAACATTACAATATATGATTTGTAGTTTTTTCATCAACGTTATGCAGCAATCAACGTCACAAAAAATAATTTATTCGTCCATGATCAACAAAAAAAACGGACAAAACATATTGCCATTTGTCGTCAAATATCACTTAATGATTCATCATCAGCTAAGCCACAAATATCGAATTAAGATTAAAAAAAAAATTAGAAAAGTAAACGAAGAAATGTTTCGTCTTTCTATATGCATGAGTAATAATTGGTTCTCTATTAAATTCATTTATTTTAACCCTCAAACGGCCACCTGCACTTTTCCAAAATTCCAGCTGTTTCATTTTTATGTTGTTTCTACGCAACACTTTGTTCTTAAGACTACAGTTTCTATGGCAGTGTATGGCAACTGGGCGGACTATTAATACCAGCTAATATTATCCAGTCATTATTGATCTAACTGCTCAGCTAAGCATACATTCAAAATATCTCTTTTTTGCTTGGAGTCTGCACAGGTCCCAGGTGACCGTTTGAAGGTTAATGAATGTGATACATAGTCCAGTACAATATGTTCTGAGTGACGTTGTTTTAACATTTAGTTATTTGATCTTCAACAATTAGCTAAATCATATATAATTCTATCTTCAACTTCTTTTCAGATTTTTAATTATTTTGCATTCGATAAAGATTTTTATGAGTTTTCATATATTTTAGTTGAACATATAAATCAATAATATTTTCATGGTCATGGTAGAATTGAAACAATGATATCCAATATAAAATAATATTCATTTAAATAAATAAAAATAAATCTTTTTATACCCTTGAAGTTTACCTCAAGAAGCAGAACTTCCAAGCTATTTTCTTGTTGAATTGTATATTCAGTCAAATGAATTCGATACTAGAAAAATAAAACAGTAATTTATAATTAGTTCAACAAAGACTATTACCTTGTCATCTTTAAATAAATATAATTTCATACAACTAATTATTTTCAAGTTAAAATAACATTCAATTGTTAATATTCAATACTCAAGACTAACAGTTTCAAATCAAAGATTATTATTAATAGTTTAACCAATCTTAAGAAAAAACATTTGTTTTTCAATTCAGCTTGGTTCATCCATTGTAACAAATTTTGACATAACCTTATTCGTCTAACTAAATTCACACAAAAAAAACCTGGTTAGGACTAGTAATAGTTTTATGTCAAGTAATTCTTGAGTATAATGATGATAAATATTTAAGCGACTTCTAAAATTGATTGAAAACAATATTTATGAGAAAAATAAAGTTCGTTAATATTAATCTAATAATTTATTTATTCGATTGAATTTTACTCATATTTTTAATACAGTAATATTATCAAAAAAACTACAATATTTGCCTTTCTTTGAGATTCATTAAAATACATTGATTTTATTTTGATACAATCTTTTATTTATTTATTTTTTATAAACATTGAATTTCAACTCATAAAAACTTATATTCCTCGTAAAAAGAGTAAAGACAAGTTTGATACACTCATATGCCGATATAATTACTCATTTTATGTCATATCAATACAATAAAATAAAAGTAAGTATGTTATATTACACTAATTTTGACTCACATAACTCAAGTAGTATTGTTGATATCAGTAGCACGTATTCTTTTATTTCTGTATGGAATTAATGATCTTTATTATTGAGTACGAATTAGATAACGATAAATTTGTTTACTAGAAACAATCATACATTTTAGTCGTAAAATATTTAAAAAAAAAAACAAAAGAAAAACAATTGTCTTCATTTGTTTTCTTCTAGACAAAATAGATTGAGGGCGTGTTAATATCAGGCAAAAGGACAGATTATAAATTATGGATAATCCTAGATAAGTAAACTTTTGATCCTAAGAATCAACAATAAAGATTAGATTTCTGTTTATGACATTTTTGTTGATGTATATATTATTTCTTAGAATCGTCTCCTTTTTTTTTTGTATAATGCATCGGTTGTAGTTTATATCAAAGTGCCTGTTTCTTTCTGACGTTCTCATTTTTCCTAATCTATCATCAGTAATCTAGAATGATGCATTTTTTCTCTAGATAATCATGCCTTACTAACGAAGATTAACTGACTATTCTGTCATCGTCTTCCCTCACACGTGCAATTATCCAAAACAAAAAAACAATAAAATATGTTAAAGAATTACAAATAAACCCTTGATTTTCCTGTCGTCATATCATACTCGACATTCTATAATCTAAAATGACTCAATAGATTGTGTAAATGTTTCTGAATTGTAGAGATATCTTCATATAGGAGTTGTGACATGTGTCAACGTAAACTTCATAACAGACAATATTTTGACACATTCTCGACCTGTTTTGATAATTGTTAAGTATTTTTCTTGGGGACACTTCCTCATATTTCGGTACAACTGATACTACAGTCCATAATCTAAACATTGTTATCTTGACTTTTTGGATTGTTAATATAGTCGATCATACTAACGAACGGTAAAATAGCCCGGAGTATATCAAAAACATCATATCAATATATTCTTCTGTTGTGTCAAGTTAATTGAAGTTTTCTGTATTAAATTACTTTTTCCATTAATAATAAATACAATACAGTAATGTAAGAAAATAACGAAGAGAAAAAAAAAGTAGTATATGTATAGCAAGAAAATACCCTCCTTGTCTCTTTATCTCCTAACATATTATAAAGACAACAAGAAAACAAAAAACAGTTAGAATATTTCATCCAACATATAGATAGCAATGATGTAGATTCTAGACTAATCTATATTATTCATTAAACAATTGCTTTTATACTTTTTCATCCTAATTGTTTCTAGATCATGACAGTTTTACCATTTTTAACATACAAAATTTTACCAAGTCGAACTATTGTTAAAGAAAATATTCGTCTTGGACACGTATGTATTGGCTTCTTTTTTTCTTAGTTATAAATTTAATTCTTTATTTTGTATATAGGTAAAAGAAGATATTGATGCTTTAATACATGCACTTACTCCTATATTATTCATTACAAAATCAGGTGTACCTAAACCACTTTTTCTTGATCCAGGCGTTATACAACATTTAACCGATAAAGTTTGACTGTTTTTTTTTTTCACTATTTATAATTCATGTAGTTTTTCTATTATAGCCTGGTACATTAAATTTATTACAACTTTTTGGTTGGGTTCCAAATCATCGAGGTGATTATGTATTTGTCGATGCTAACTCACCAGAAGAAACAAATCAACGTGAAGAAGTAGCAAATGAATTTCGTCAATTTTACGATGAATTAAAAAAGATTAAAGATAAGGATGTTGGTTCGGTAGAAAATTCTCATACAGTAAATTCTTAGAAATAAAAGTCTTGATAGTTTATGTCAATTGTGTACTTTGTTGTAGGTCATAACAACAATACCATTCTCATCATATCATATAATACCGGCTGAAAAAATTATTAGAGATAATGTTCGCCCTGAAACTGTATGTATTGTTCTTGTATCCATTACTCAATCTTATATTTTGACATAATTGTTTTTGTGTATAGATAAAAGAAGATCTTGATTCTATGATCCATGCACTTACACCAGTAGTATATCTTACTAAACCAGGTGTACCAAAACCACCTTTTCTTGATCCAACTATTATTCAAACATTAACAGATAAAGTTTGTGAAATTTTTAATATTTTTCACTACATATTATGAAATTTAATTGATTTATTGTAGCCAGGAACATTGAATTTATTACCACTTTTTGGCTGTACTTTAAATCATCGTGGTGATTATATTTTTGTTGATGCAAATACATCAGAGGACAGTGCTTTACATGAAACAGCTGGAAATGAATTTCGTCAATTTTATGATGAAATAAAAAGAGTTAAGAATGGTACAAATATTGTTATGGAATATTTTCTTAACGTAAGCTTTTAACATTGAATAAAATCAAATCATCTTATACTATTTTTTCTTTTATTATTTTCAGCATTCAAATAATCATTTTTCTCAAGTACAACAAACTTCCTGACTAACTCATGAATGATATTAACTGTTTTGTAATTTCTCGATATTTCATATATATCGTCTTATTTTATGTGTGTATGTGCTTTTTATTTTTTTTTGTGTGGACTATTATCACTTTCATACTCAGAGTTATTCATCAATGCCCATGACACTATAGAACTTCCGTTTTTTCATATAGTCTTATTTAACCCTTGGCAGTGCTGTTATATAAATTCGATTGCTAATTTTGTCTTTTAAAGTAGTTTAAATGATTTATATAAAAATGAGTTTTCTAATTAAGATAAATTTTATTAGTCTTACAAAATAAGATGTCCATGGTTAATATAATATAAATATTTCTTCAATATTCATTTTGAAAATGGTACATTTTGTAGTTTATTTGAGCCCTTTGGAATCTATTAGTATGATAAGAAAAAAAAAGGGGTGTGTCTATTGTCGATGATAGGAGACAAAGTTTGTGTGCGAAAACAACCTATTAATCTTGGATAAGTATTGTCGTTGAAGATTTCATCACGATAATTTCCTATAAGAAAAATACTATTACGACAAAGAAAATACAAACTAAAAAATACTCTCGAATTTTAGAACAACAGCAGTTTTTCCTATCTACTTGCTTGTCGACCTTCCTTTCAGCAATTTTCTTTTCTATTTAATTACTTTATAATTACTCTTTCGCAATTTTTTTTTGCTTATTGTATTTCATGAAGTTTTTTTCTCTGTTTGATGTGTGGTTTTGAATTAATTTGAATTTCACAATAAAAAATGTGTATGAATTTACTTCACAACGGAATTAAATAATACAAGACATAATTGGAACCAAATACATTCAGTGTTTTGAGCACACACATGGAAACTGTATGTGTCAGTCTTCTGAAGCCTCATCAGTAGTGCTGTGAATGACACTGTGGCAAGTCTCTTAATTGTAGAGTTCTACTTCCATTACTATGGAATTTCCAATTTCTGGATGATACTGTTCTCTTTGTCTTATGTAAATATATAGAAGAATAGTACAAGAACAAACAGAAAATAAAATTCAATAAAGCTTTGGAAACTGAGAAGAAACCAGCACGACCTGGAAAGACATTTTTCAATTTTTAAAGTGAAAGCAATTTAAACAGGTTATACTAAATGGAAACTTCAGGTAATCATTGAGTCCTATTCATACTCGAAATATAAAAAGTGAATTTTGCTGATTTTTATTCATCTCCTGTGTGATCAAGTTATTTCTAAATCACTGCTAATTAGTAATGAATTATTTACAGTCACCTGAATATCATTTTACCAACCAACAATTGGACTTGTTCTATACCAAATATAAATGATTACTAGTAGTCATAGAACAAGGATCAATAGAGATCAGTACAAGAACCTTAAATGTGGACTTAGTCGACTACATAAATGAATCTGCAAGTTTCGAGTCACACAAAAAGTTTTAACTTTCTAGACCAATAATACATAGGTAGTCAGTCGTATTACAAAAAAAACTATACTAACCTGGTTAGTTCCCACCTATATTTAGATTCAGATCAAGAATCAACGAAATGGTAAATGGTTTTAAAAATTACACATAAGTTCTTTTTATATTCAAGCGCGCTTCGTGTTGAACTTTTTTGAATTGGTCATTTTAGAGAAACTTCGATAGGCTTTACATAATGTCGTTTAGGATTCTGCAATCGTTTTAGTTAACTTCCAATTCTTCATCGTAAATAACCCTCCAGAGTTACGTTGACCTTGGAAAGCCTAAGTTCGTTTTTGGGATCAGTAATCGATCAATCATTATAAGTATCTTTCTTACTGGTTGTTTTAGTAAGTTTTTCTGCTTTTTTTTTTGTAATAAATTCAAAAACTCTTCGATATTCTTCTTGATTTTATCTGAATAACGAAAATAAAGTTTATTGCGCTTGAATTTGTTCAAGTACGTGCATTATTAGATAATATTTACCAAACGAAAGAATAGCAAGTTTACTTTCTGTTTGACGTCATTTGATCTATTCAACAATCGATATAAATTGAAGACGAACAAAACTTTCTCCATCAGATTTACTTCGTTGTAAACCAACATCCTGAACTAACAAAGTCTATAATATATTCAAGGCATTTATCAATAATACACGCCTGTTTAGCACATTGTTAAAATTTCAATTGTATATTGTTTAGGTAATATTTATGAAATATCCGACCCATCTTTTTGTTCTTGCGATTAATAGTATTTTATCGAAAAATTTTTCTGCGAGTTGATTAAAACCTCTGCACCACTTGAAAAACAATTATTAAGTCGAATTACATATGACGAAAATGTCGATGAAATCGTTTTTTTTTTAAATAATCACTTTTTCGTTGTTAATAAAGAAAATGCATGAAGTTTACATTCAGTTTGGTCTGCAATAATTCCTATGTCAGATATTTCTATGAAACATTTTCGCAAACTCAAAGTTTGATGTATAAAGAATCGATCAAAAATGGATAATGATAACAATTATGTTGGAAAAGGCAGAGAGATAAAGAGAATACTTGTTCAGCCTTGTATCAGTTTGATTAGAGTAAAACAAGGAAGAAAAACGAACATAAACTTTCTAGGACTTATTCATTTTAAGAGCCTATCTGTTCGAACAACATTGTAGAAAAAAATATTTTTTTATCATTGTATACAGTTTGACTTGAAGATTGAGGAAATGTACTTGATTTACCGTCGAACAGTTTAATTTTTTCGGTGACATTATAATTTTTTAAATTTCTTTGAGAGTTGTAACAAATTTATTTATACTATGAGATAGATTATATTTCGAAGTATATTTCGCTATTATTAATTCTTGAAAAAGTGTGATTTTCACTTATAGCTAAATGTCTGTCTAGATGCACACATTATGCCTCTCTCTTTTTCAGAAATCCTAGAACTGCCGCTGCCAAAACCCAATCTTGTATTGAAAAACTTGATATAAAAAACTCAACAAATGCTTTTTGTCTTTCTCGATGTGTATGACAAACAAATTATTATATTGCATCAATTCAATGAATTACGATTAATAACAGCTCAAATAAACATTTTTTTTTTCTGAACCATTCCACTTGTGTCAATCGCATAAAAACCAACCTGTTTACTATAATTATTGTAATTTGACCAATCATTCAATATCCTCACGTCCTCATCATAAAAACAATATACAGTAAAAACATACATTTAAATCGACACTAAAAAAATTAAAAACAGTTTATCATTGCTTTTGAATACAATAATAAACCACACGTATCTCCATCATCGAAATAAATTACAGAAAAAATAATCATTAAATGAAATTATCAATAAACAAGTTTATTTCATTCCATGAGTTAATATCTCCTGTATCATTTGAAGCATGAATACAACCGTTGAAAAAGAATAATCTCAACCAATTAAGTATTTTATACTTATAATTATACATTTAATAGTACTACAAAAGAAAACAACAATGATAGATCATTTTAGAACATAGCATAAATGCAATCAATGATAATATTGTTCAGTAATTGTCTTGCCAGAAAACTAAGGATAATTAATAGAAATCACAACCATCTAGATTCCATATAATGCCTTGTCGTTTATTCTCGATATTACTAACATCTATTAGTACTTTTCAGAATAGTATTTTTAGTACTAGATTTTGTCTACATTAAATATAGTAAACAATTATGTTCCGCCGGACAAGCCAGATCTTTCTCTGAAATAGACAATAGAAAGCAGAAAACAATGTATTTTATATAGTGTAATACATTTTGTTACAATACAGCAAACGAGAACTAATTTTCATATAGACACATGTTTTTCTACTGTCTTCTGTTCTTGTCTCAATAGGCATTCGACAGCTAAATATATGGTAATTTGCTATACCATTCGATGCCGTTTTTATTAGTTAGACATGCTCACTTAGCACTATCAAATAACAGTTCAAGTGTGCTCTTCTTCAATCACAATTTCTTGAATAAAGATAGGATATATTCTCGTTTCGGTCAATAACAACAGAAATATAAGTACAATTAGAATGAATAATACTGATACAGTGTGCATCGTTCAATTATAGTACCCGACTTGTATTGTTCTATTTACATTTCTCCGTGGCCACTTTCTCTATGAATGCCGTAATTGTTAATTTTACAGTCATTAATTGTAATGTGCACGACATAATCTATTATTCTTTTCATTATTTACGAATTTAACTTTCCGTCAATTCTTTATACCTATTTTTTTTTATAAGATTTGCTGTTGAAAGAATTAGTAGATACATAAGTATGAAAACCTCATGAATGCTATTCAATCTCAGGACTTACATACCTTATTAAATTTTCACGAGGATACGTAAGAACCCTCAGTGATTCATAGAAATCTAGAGACTTATGAATGAAAATATGCTGGAAACAAATTATAATGGTCATCATATTTTATCATTGTTATTCATACAAAATTGTTTAAAAAAGACGTGATCGCTTCTTGTGCTCAGAAAAACAGAATTGAAATCTACAGCAAGAAAAACTGATTCTGAGATTCTGATAGATTCCAGTCAACTCTTATATGAATTAAGATGAATATACATTAGACTTCATTGAGGTTCATCCGAATCTTAGTATTCCGAATCCAATTTTGTTTCTGTCGACTAGAAAAACAAGAGTTTTCATTACTAAACTTCAAGAAAAGGTTTACTAGGCTACGATGTCTTTATTAAATCTTAATTTATGTCAGTATGAGCAAAACCATTTGGATTTGTTTGATTAGTATACATACAGAAATACTTGATTCATTCATAACATATCTTTTTATCGTGTCGTCATGGTAATACAATTACAAGTATATAATGGAAAACAAGCATAACATTACTTATATCCTTTTTCCATACAATTCAATAATAGAATAGTGCATGATACGGTCTCTTAAATTCAGATTCCTGGCTCCATACATATAAGGATGAGAATAGATGTATAACAATACATGATAGTATATAATACCAATTCTTGAAATTCTAGGTTTTTTGACCTAATCCATATAGTAGTGATAGTATGTGGATACCATAGCGGTATTTTATAGTGAAAGACTTGAGTTTCAAGATTTAGATACGTACATTTATGTATTTTTATAAGTAGAGAATACATGATAGTATACTATGATTAAGTTTCGTAGTGTATGAATGTAATTGACATGATTCATGACTGTAATTTAATGGATGACTTTAATGTTGGTAATGCTAAAACTCTTAGCTTATGAAGAAACATTCACTTTAAAGTCTATTTTGTAAACATATTTTCACAACCCTTAAATTACTACATCTAACTTGCATATCAAAAATGAGTTGTATATCATTACATTGAACAATCTTGAATGAAAATCATCTAGTGATATGTATTAATATTTATAATAAATCAATGACAAATTGATTATGATATTTATTATCATTCTATATTTCAATCAGATTACTAAGTCAGATTCTGTAAGTATCTTTACAATACATACAAGAAAAAAATTGCTTAAACTGGAAAAACTTCCCTACCTCTATCTGTATACATTACAGTTCGTAGTAAATGCTAACCAATAAGAACGTCAAAATACAAATCAATTCACATAAACACCAATCGTATTTCTTAATTTGCTTTTCATTCAGTTATTAACATTTTTAGATATCGATTTTATATTATATTGCTTCGAGCTAAAAGGCGTTTCTTGCTTCCAATTGATAGTTGATACAGTTCTAACTATTAATATCTACATGTAAATCACAAGCAATCAATAAGTCAAGAAAATTACTAATTTACTAGAAAAAGCAGTAAGATATAAATCAAGGATATTCTTCTTTGAAGCAAAAAATATTTTTCGTTATAGTACGCATCACTGAAAACGATGTCCTCCTAGTAAAGAAGGTAGCAAATATAGTCTAACGAGTAATTTCCTCACGGTACGCTTGAATAGAAAATTGAGCATTGGATCCCAATTTCCTGAATTTTAGGTGAGAACAAATGAAACTTGTTTAATTTTTTTTTCTGTACCACTAGATATTATTTCTTTCATGTTTATTAAATATCTATTGGTTTATTTTAAACGAAAAATATAGTTTAGGAGGCAAGAAGAATTATATACTTTTGCTTCATTCTAGTACAAAGTTCTGATCGATGAATTTAAATAATAGGTAAATACGCATGTTGATTTAATTTGAAACTAATGCAGCTTTATTTTTAACAGAAGACTTTTGCTTCTGTTTGAGATGCTTATCATTAAAGATGCTAACACCAGCGTTTCGAATAGAAAGCAAAAAGAAAAATGTCTTTTTACACTGATGTTTGCGTCATAATTTAAGAGAGCTACATGTAAACTCAATAACTCGACGACGGCAACAGCTAGTGATCTATAGCTTGTAGCAACCAAAAGAGAAGAACTCTGGATAACTTTTTGTTTGATACGAAAATATTTTTAAACGTATCATCTTTGCAAATACAAAGCACGAAAATAGTGAGTCTTATCTAGTATCAAACAAAAAAGACATCCCGAGTTGTCCTCTTTCAATTGCTGAAGAACACAAGTCGCTAGCTGTTGTTGTTAATGTCGAGTTATAAACCTAACACCTACCCTTCTTTTATTCTAGCGTGAGCATTACTGAAGTATTCATGTACATTTTCTTTTCATAAGCAGAGTGTATCAAAATGTATAATGACGAAGTTTAATAAAAAAAAACATTTTTTGTTCTTTTTTTCCTGATCTAATCAAAGAGAAATTGAAGAATAAAAGAAAAAAGTTAATAGGTTTTAAACAAATAGAATAAATCAACTTTAAATTTTTTTCCATTAAAAAAAATATACATAATCCTCTTGACAACAATATTTTATTTTATTCAGCTAAGTGTACTTCGTACATTCTATTAATCTATGAAAAATATATAACAATATGTTTTTTGACACTAGCACATATTCTATACATATACTTGTTATAGTTGCTATTAAAAAATACTTGTGTACATTCATTAATCAAGAGTTTTAAGAGGAAGATGGCAGCGAGAATCAATAATAAACAAAATACATAGAGGGCAGTAAAGTCAAAAAAATAATTTGATTAAAAAATGATTATTACAAATTTTCATAAAACTTGAATAAATAAAAAATTGAAATCTTTTACTAGAACAATAAAAAAATCATTGCTACAAATCTTTAATTGAAGTGCATCAATAACTTTCACATTTACTGTGAAAAACATGAGTCATTATTTCTTTGACATTCTATTCTCACCATTATATTCTATGTGTGTATAGATTTAGATTTTGTTCCTTCCTTTTTTCTTCCCATCATCTACAAGCAAACATTTCCGGTGAAAGACACTCAAAATCAATTGATCCTTATCATTATTTTGTTCTTCGAAGAAAATAATATGTCCGAGAGATATGAAAAAATTCTTTTTCTTATTCCAGATATAAAATCAATGGATACAACTGTTGGTGGTTCAGTTAATTCTGGTTTTGTTGGTATTAAATTTTGTCAAGAATGGTATGTAAAAGACAATATTTTTAGTTATTTTAATTTCTTTTTTTTAAAATCTATTTTAGTAATAATATGTTATATCCAAAAGAAGATAAAGAAAATCGAATTTTACTTTATGCAGTGAGTAATGCATTTCTTTTATCGATTTCTAACAGTCTATTTATGTAGTGCCGTCGTTGTCAGCATCAACAGGCAGCAGACAATCCTTGTATTTATGTCAATAAGATTACACATGAAATAGAGTAAGTATTAATTTTCATCAACGCTTAAAATATTAACAAAAATTTATCTTAATAAAAATATTTTCTTCGATGATTTTATTATGAAACAAAATAAAATAAAACTTAAAACCCAAAATATTGTACCATATAGTTTTTAATATAAACGATATGCAAGAAGAATCTTTTACTCTTTTGAACTATATTTATAATTTATTTTTGTCATACAATGTATCCAATAATGTGAAACAAAACAAAGCGCACTTGCATAAGAATTGAGCAATTTTTAGTAAAAAAAAAAAAAAAAGTTTTGTAAGATGACATTTCAATTATTATTTACTATGATTTTATATGATCGTTTTTTATCAGTTCATAAAAATTGCATCAGCTATTATCTTACGAGATCTTTTTTGTCATGAGTTTAGAAAACAAATTTTTTTTCTCCCATATGTTCATTTAAAATCATATTTTTACTTTGCGAGTATTTTTCTCTCTTTATTTAAGCATTCCTGACATATATCAAACGTAGCATAGTTAGAAAATAGAAGATTTTCTATTAGTTGATAAAAAGATTCTTATTCAACACGTTTTCATTTATGTGATATAAATATTGACATTTTGAGAGCTATTACTTTTGTATAGTATGTTATTGAATAAGCAAATTTCTTTACGACCATGATTAATGATATATGCTATTTTATGAATGAGTAGTTCTCATTGATTGAATATTTATATAGCTATAAACGGAAATCATTTGTTAGTAAAATGAACATTGCCTATATCGGAAATCTATGTATTCTGTATTATTATTATTCTTGGCGATCTATGAAAATCTGTTTATTTAATTTTTTTTATTATTTATTTTAAGTGAATTAACACAAATTGTTACCGATGTAATTTCGGATCCAACATTACCACGTACTGCTGATCATCCTTGTAAGTTAATTCAATAAATATGTAAAAAAAAAATTAAATTAAATTTTTATTTTTAGGTCCAAAATGTCGAGCTAATGATGCTGTTTTTTTTCAAGCACAATCAGCACGAAGCGAAGTTTGTTTTATTAAATATATAATGTTCTTTTCTTTTAAATTTATTTTATCATTATTTTAAGGATCGTATGACACTTTATTATGTATGTCGAAATCAACATTGTCTTCATCGATGGACTGAATAAAAACATTCATATTTCTTGTTTTTTTTTGCTATTTTCCTTGTTGTAAAAGTCAAAAATAAGTTCATTTTTTGGTTTCAGATATGTAATTGAGAAAAAAAAAACGAAAGCCTGGAAAAAATCATTTATTTATTTATTTTCTTCTGATATATTTTATAATGTCTTCTCAAAATGAGAATGACACTATATTATCAAATGAAGATACTCCTATAACAACAGCTAGTCATAAACGTCGTGTACGTTTTCCAAGTGATGAATCACAATTACGTATGATATCAGTTACACCTGAACCATTATCAAATCAACCATTATATTCACTTGGTGTTATATTACAACGTTATCGTGGTGCATGTCAACGTTTACAAATACGTCCGTTAAATTGTTTATTAGATCAATTAAGTACATTAGATGATAATAGAAAATCATTTAATGATCGTCTTAATTATTTAAAAATAACAAATGAAAGATTAGATATAAAACATATTGATGCTATTGAAGAAATTTTATCACGTTGTCGTTTTCATACATTAGATTTAGAATCATCATTTACCGATGATATAACACTTGTGCAATTATTTGATGTTATTGAATATTATGAATCATGTATACATTTAAATTTATCAAATAATCGTTCAATTAATGTACAAGGTTATCAAGCATTAGCAAGATATTTAAGAAAAGCACATTATTTAGAAAGACTTGATATGAATTCAATGCGTTTTGATGATATGAGTATATTAGGTTTTGGACGTGCATTGCGTTTAGCATCAACATTATATGAATTACATTTAGAATCATGTCAATTAAATGGTAAAATTTTACAAAAATGTATACAAAATTTACGTTTATGTGCTTGTTTACGTGATCTTTATCTTTGTGATAATCGTATGTATTAAGTTAAAATATTCTTTTTTTTTTGTTTTTTGTTTTAAATTAAATATATTTTAAATATTAGAAATATTAACAATGAAAATTTTTTATTAGTCAGAAAAATACAATAGTTCAGACCTATTAAAATGAATATAATAAATCCTTTAAACAAATATTATTTCAATAAGAATTTGATCGCTTTCAATGGTATCCATTTCATATCCTCTCTAGATTAATTACGTGTCAGAGAATGTTACAAGACACATGTCACTTGATTGATCATGATTCAATGAAGTTTTCATGTAATAGTGACACTCATTATGATTTTTCATTATTATCAATAGTAGCCAGACGAGTCCGGAGATTAGTACTTCGATGACAAAAATTATTAATTCCAAGACGGAAACTCTTCAAGTGTCAAGTCGCTGTTCGATCGAAATGATGTTCATTAGATGAGGAATAGAAAAATCTGGATTGATTTTTGGTTTGTGAGATATCGAAATTTTACCGGAGTTTTTCAAGAAAAAGCTCTAGTAATCTAGAAAGTTGACTTTCGAATATTGAATATCTCAGGATAGGAGACATTAAATCAATTTTTCATGTGACCATGGGTAATTGTTAACAAACCCAGTAAAATCTTCGATATCTCAAAAACGAAGATTCGAAAAATCAAACTATTCGAGACTTTTCTATTACTCATCAAATGAATATTATCTCGATCGAAAAGAAAGATTTACCACCTAGAAAGGTTCTTTCATCAGCTGGATTAATATTTACTAAAATACGAATATTTTTATCACTGAGTCAAATTGATAATATATTATTTTGTTCGTTGATACAAGAAACTCACGAAAAAGCAATAAAAACAAAAGAAAACCTTTCCCATTTTTCATTTGTTTACATTAATTACATTTGGAATTCTATATTTTTATGTTTTGTTTTGTTCACTCAATGAATGTCAAGTATTTTGTTTTTATCACTCATTTCTTTTCTGCTGAAAAACATGTGATAAGGTTTATTAACAGGACTGCATCGTAAATAGTTTTTGTATAAATAATACATCTATGATGTTTGTCCTTTGTCCTTCCAGGGCGACAATTGTTTTTAATACTCTGCCCCACTTTCTGCAAAATAGGATAGTTGAATGATAATATTTTGCAGAATGTAGGGTAGGACGAAGTAAATCTTTCTATGTCGTTCTCTGCAATTTTTTATCAAACCAAAACTTGATTAATTAGACACCTTTTCATTTGTAATTATATCTTTTCAATGCATTCTGTGGAATGACAACACCTATTTCAAAATAGGTGGCATCACATATTTGCAAACAAAAGTTTAATTAATTTTTCTGCATCAATGAGCTAGCGCATAGAATATATTGAATGCTATGAAGCATTGTGTTATTTGGTCTTTTTTTGTTTGTTAGTACTTAAAATAATGAAATTCGATAAAAAAAAGTCTCTTCACAAAGTTAGAAGTCATGTTTCATGAGTGAAGCATCTTATCAACTTCATTTGTTTTATGTTTAATAGAGCAAACTCACTTGGATAAGAGTTATTTTAGTTAATTACTTTGTGCTATAGCAGATGATACAACAAGTTTAACAAACATGGGAAAATAGACTTTTGACAAGTGTTATTTTCTATACAGTCACAAATCAAAAGCAGCATAAGCAACAAAAAGAAATTGTGCAGAGTTTTCTATTAATTTATACAAATTTATTTCAACGAAGTAGTCAATTTGAATTTCTAATTTTTTTAATAAATTAATACTTTATTTCCATAGGAAAAATAAAAAATATTCTAAAACAAACTTCGAAACAAGCATGAAAACTTTTGTATGTCATATGATATAAGTAAATACGATAAAGGTCAAAAATATCAGACTATCGTATTTTTCATTTTTCTTTTACGATGCCAAACATTTTATTCGAACTTAAACAGTGACTTGAATAGTCAATGAAGTTTTCTATCAAACGTGTTCTATACTGAAATTTCACGGATAGGCTATGAGAGAAAGATTTCTGAAAAGCCAAACACGGTAGTTTTCAGGTCTCAGAAGACTGAAAATTAGTTTTTAATAGTGTCATTAAAGAACACGAAGATCTGATTAAAATGAGGGGTTATCGCATTTTCTACGACCTTTCTGTGAAAATGTATAAGTATCACAAAAACAGAAACAGTGTGTTTCCATGATAGATTTTTTTTGTGATGCATATCACACAGTTTAGTGATACCTAAACTGTAAGCGCTTGCAAGAATTTAAATATTGAGTCGAATGGAGAAAATTCTTTTCAAAAGTTGCAGAACCAAATAGAGATTATTATCAGGTTCTTATGAATATGAACTTCAGAAAACTCAAATGTTAGGTTTTTAACATCTAGAACTAGTATACATAATTTTCTTTAGATTATATAGAACGATAGAGCAAAACATTCTCTACAAAATGAGATATTTCCAAGTTCTTTGCGGCGTGTTTTTAACTAAGATACAATAATGTTACGGAAGTCCCTAAAGTCGTTTTTTTTTTAATTTCCTATAGAAAGACATATTTGTAATTTTCAATCAAATTGCTATATAAACGTCACAGAAAACTTGGGGATATTTCAATATGTAAAGAATAGTCTACTCTATTATTTTATGTAGCCTAAGGAAAATTATATTGACGTGCTCTTGGCTTTCTGGGGTTTCCATCTTTGTAAATCTGATAATTATTTTTATACGCTTATATTTATTTGTTGGAAAATCATTTTCTCTAATCGAATGACAATTTAGATTCTTTCTAACGCTTCCGGCAGTGGACAAAAATTGAAAATAAATCCTATTGAATGATTTTAGTACTCATTATATATATTCGATCTTTGTTAAAATTCATCAAATAAAAATAGAAATTATTCTATTGCATAGAAAATTTCTGACTACATAACTATACCAAAAATCAATCAATTAATAAAATAATATTATATTCTTTTTAACTAGGCCTTCAAGTGCAAGATTCATTACTCATAAATGATCTGATTCGATCTTGTGGTCAATATCTTCATGTACTTGATCTTCGTTCAAATTCATTACAAGATAATGGTATGTCTCATATAGCTTCACAATTAAGTCAATATGATGAACATCATACACATCAAAATGCTATATATAAAATAAGTTTTCAATCAAATCAATTAACATCTCAAGGTGTTGGTTTTCTAGCGAAATCATTACTACATAATCGTACAATACGTTCATTAAATTTAAGTCATAATCCAATAACAAATGAAGGTTTATTTTTATTACGTGATACATTATTAACAAATCGAACAATAAATGAATTAATATTAAGAAATTGTCGTTTAACAGATCAAGCTGCTATTGCTTTAGCAGAATATATTGCTGAATCATCAACAATACAATATATTGATTTACGAGAAAATAATATTCAAGCAAGTGGTATATGTGGTATGGCAATAGCAATAAAAAACAATAAATCATTATTAAGACTTGATTTTGATCAAATTATTTCAACATCAACCAATTCAAATATACAATCGAATAATCAGAATATTGATCGATCAACAACAAATACAAGTAGTCTTCTTTCATTATCAAGTCTTCGACGAATGACAATTGGATTAGGTAATTTAACAAATAATCCATCAAATAATTTAAATGGAACAAATAATCCTGTTACACGTGAATTATTTGAACAAAAACTTAAATGGATGAATGATATTGAATGTATTTGTCAAAGAAATTTACTTCTTTATGAAGATCGATTACGTCGACAACAAGAAGAAGAAGAAGCAAAACAACAACAACAACAAAATGGACAAATAATTGATAATAATGGTAGAATATTGAGTTTTTTTTTTATTTAAATTTAAAATTTTTTTTTTTTTTTTGTTAAAGAAAAAACTATAACTAATGGAACTGATCAACAAGAATCATCAACTATGACACTGAATGATATTCTTTTAGAAGAAAATATTACAGATGAACTTCCATCAAATGATAATATTCCTTCATTATTGACAGATAATGAACATTTACCATTTTGTATACAAGATAACAGTGAAGATAAACTAATATCAACCGATGAAGTTTTACAGTAAATTATCTATAATATTTTAATACTTGATTAATCAATCGGATGGTTGTTTTTATTTTTGTTTTATTTAGATCAAAAGATACTTCTGTTAATAATAATGATATTATTGTAGAACTTTTAAATACTCACACTCATGATAATAATGAAGTTGGACAAGAAATAGATAATCCTATCGAGTAAGTTATTCTTCAATGTTATCTGAATTTATATTCCAATTTGTGATGTATTAATGTATAACTTCGAGAGAAACAAACTGAAATCTAATATTTTTGAAGATGGATGAAAACTTAAATTGGAAATGAAAGGAGTTACACCTTGACAAGCATGTATAGAAAAACAATTGTGACTGTATATATAGAAATAAACACGATATTGAGTACAGTTCGGTTTCTATCATTCTGTTCTAAAATCTGACACTTGTAAAATTTTCATTGATGAGCTTTAGAACTATCATTTGTTGCCGACCTCGAGTTCTTGCGAATTACAATTGATAAAATAAATATAACATATGAAGTTCTTACTAATTTCGTTTTAAAAAAAAAAACAATGAGTTTAACTGTTTTTTGAATACGAGAATAGTTTATCATGAACGTATGAAAACTTGATTTACAAGCAGAACAAATAGAAAAACAGTCAATTTGAACTATATTTATCTAGTGTGTTTTCATTGTCTTATTTTTCTCTATTTGTGGAGCATTTGACATCATGCATTAGTATTCAGTATTTACATATAACGGATGGATCATAATGAATTCAACGAAATGTAAATGCAATTTTTCTCTCATTTAAATTTATACAAAATATTCATTCATATACTAAAAGATAAAGAATTTCAAGCTTTACATAACTAAGACTTTTCACTTTTAAAAAGAATATTTTATCTTTGCACGACAATTCACACATTTACGTATATATCCTACATGTTTCCACTGCAACGCATTGCTGTTCGTTCTTTCCAAACCTATGAAGGATCTCGCAATGGCGATGATGTTACACTATTTGTTTTTAGTTTCTCAGTGAGAATATACCGTATATCTCAATGTGTTGATTATTTTGAAATTAAAAACAAAGTTCTTTGTGAAAGTGAATTTACACAGTTTTGTAGAGTTTAGTATTCTCCATCTTTTGACACATAAGTGATTATTTTATATGAAAAATAAACAATTGAAAAATTGCTTTTATAATTAGTCCGATTTATTATAGTTCACCCAGTACTTTGAACTGCTCTACATATGAAGAACAGTTGTTGATGATTGGTTAATGTTATCGATGTACTGTACTAAGTATCCCCAAGGCATATCGAAAAGGGCATGATTCGATTAAATATTATGAATGCATAATATAGCAACAAATCTCACTGGGGCCCAGACAAATCCCAGCTAGTCAACAAACGTTTACATGCCCTTCGGGATGGCCTACTCACATAAATAATACTTGGGCATAACTGGCAAATATTATCAGCATACTCTTCTAGTCTTCACTAGTGCATATCTGAAAGATCAGCAGTTTTGTTTAATATCTGAAGACCTCGGGTGTTTGTAATAGGGTTAAGAAAAAAACATTTAAATATGAATGACTATGTCGGACTCAAATGTTTTCTTTTTGTAAAACACGATTTAAGATCAATGTCGAAGTATATAGAGTGCAAATCATTCCAGACCACGCCAAATGGGATTGACAGAGCGTGACAAACATATTAGAAATGACTCATTGTGCAATGACACATATAACTATCGAAACAGATATCTTATCAATACTTCAGCCCCTCCTCTGCATTAGAGAATGAAGAAATATGTCCCAAAATAGGTAGAATGACATATACTCCATGTAATTAGCAACGGCAACTACGTCATGTTTCAGATTTTAGTTCTACAGAGATTGTGCTAACAGTTTTTTTTGTTCAGGTCTCAATCCAATGGTGATAATCAAGCAAAATTGCAAACAAATAATATTGATGAAAATTCAACATTAGCAGATTCACTTTCAATGCCTAATCAAAATAAAGATAATCTTGACAATAATAATGATGATGATGATAGTGATAAACGAAGACTTCAACATTCAGATAGTCTTCATTTATTAAGAAAAAAAGTTCAACATGAAGATAATAATACAAGTGATGATGAATCTGATTTGTCATCATCGATGGAACAACAACAACAACAACAACAGCCAAAAATAACAGATGGTGTATAGAAAAATTTATCTTCTAATTAATTTTAATTCTTTTTTATTTAATAATTTTGAATGGTGCAATTAATATATAGGCAAAAATATGTGGAATTTTCAATTTGGTGCTTATTTAAAACAGAAACTACATTCCATAAGATTCTCTATTTATCTATAGAGAAACAATGGAAAAATAAGAAAAAAAACAGTAGAATTTTGTGTATTCATCCTTAATTTATCGTTTTTTTTCTCTTTTGCAATAATTTTGTCCATATCTATTTTCGAGAGAGTATTGTTGTGGTGCTCCGCATGACTCTTTCGCTTTAATTTGTGATTACGACTATTTTGTTTCTCTTTCATAAATATATACAAGAACTTAATTATCTATCTTCTTCTAAAAAAATAACAAATAATTCTCTTTTTTAATCTTATTTCTTTATTCGAACTTCGTTACAATCGGTTTCGTAAAATCTCTCTCTCCCTCTCTCTCTCTCTCTCTATATATATATATATATTGAATACATAAATGTGTTTATAAGCGTGAATTGTGCTATTTTTCTTTTCTTGTTTGATCAAAAAAAAAAAAGTTCTCATTTCGTTTTCTTTTTCCTGGTGTATAACGATGATTTTCGGTGTCTCTTTTTCTCTATTGTTTAGATGGCATTATGAATAAATGAGAAACATATTCTATCTGTATGTGAATCTATAAGATTAATATCAAGTGATTCAATTGTTTATAATGATAACAATATGGGATTAAAGTCTTCCATAGAGATAAGAAAACACTCGAAAATTAAATTATCGAATTTAAAAAAGAAAATCACGACATTTTTTTTTTTGTTTTCGAGATTTTATTCCTACAAATAGGTTTTTCTATACCAGAGCTGGGCAGAAATTAAATTCCTGGTTTCAGATCCAGGTCCCTAGAGAAAAGTCATAATCTTATAAGTTGATTCTTGCAATGAATCTCGATTAGACATATGCGAGACCACGTTTTTTATTTCGATCCAGCAAATGTTTACTCAGATTCAATAGTTACTGTAGCTTATTTAAAATGATTTTGTAAATCAAATTAGAAGACACAGCTTCTCCACCATTTCTTCTAAGTAAATGTGTCTTATCAAAGTATTTATTATAAATAAATTCACAAACGATTGTCTAAAGATGATGAACCAATATTCAATGAACAAGTACAATCATATTTTAGTGTTCATAATAATGAAACTGTTTATTTTTTTTTTATATAGGTGCTTATATGATTGTGATTTGTTTATTCATTAAAATTTAATATTTACAGATTTTATTTATGTTTATGCCATCTTATTTGTCATAGACTGTTTTTGTCTGCATGAGAAGATATTAGCGTGAAAATAATAAATTGATTTATTATGCACGAAAAGCTTCACTTGAAAAATCACACAGTTAAAGATATTATGTAGTCTTGGATTTCGATCTCGCATATATCTACTCTCGATTCTTCTACCTAATAGTGAAATGAATATCAGAGTTTATGATATAATTAAAAAAAAATGTAAGTCCTGTTAATCATTTTTGTTGTCTATTTTATAACAACTGTCTTGACTTTTTCGTACTAGAAAATATATATATTTTACCTCATGAGATGAGATCATTGAGTAGCAGTTGTTGAAAGATATTGTTGATTAATGGATTATTAATTATGAATCGTACTTAAACACATCTTCATTTTGTAGCTATTATACAACAAAACAATTGAGAAAACTGTCGATAAGAACTAAGTGCTTTATTATTTGGCATGACAGAACAAATAGACACATATATACTACAGAGTCTTTCAGTAATAATACGATACACTTTTGAGTAAGCATGCAAATAAACTTTGTGAAAGGCTATAGTCCCAAAAAGAAAAATACCTAAAAAATAAAAGTCAAACATGTAAAATCCAAGATATTCATTTTCATTACTCGAATATTTGTATTTTGTTAATCTTGTCAAATGTTTTGTTTTTTTAAGTTTTATTATAGCAATATTTTCTATGCAAAAGTTCTGTCTCTCAAAAAAAAAAAAAAAAACAAAGATTCTATTGAATTTTCTTTTTTACAACCAGTCAAATAATCCACTTGGTAAATCATATAGATTGATGTATAATATTATTCCATCAATGAACTGTTTCTAGTATTACAACGCTATTGAAGAAAAATAAAACGAACATTGAAGACATGGACTTAATGCATAACAATTTCTTTACATTTCTCTATAGCATATAAAAAATTACAAATAAATGATTTCATTGATTGCTTCAAGTCAAGTTCTGGATTTCTTTAATTATTTTCGTAGATTAAAAAGTGTTTATTGACATGAATCTATGCATTTGAACGAACATTTTAATCTAATTATATAATTGGATTCAGCTCTATTCATGCGTCAATTTTGCAGAAACTTTTAATCAAGCTATTTATTTTCTATGATAAAAAAAAATATGAACTATATAAGTATTAAGTCAATGTGACATTTACTGCTAATAAAAAATTAACCATAGTCCGTAAAAAAATAAAGCTTCCAGTTTCTAATTAAATCGTTTTTTCTAGACGATAGAAATAGTTTCAGTCAAAATAAGCTGAAGAACTTATATAAAAAACAACCCAGAAATTATTAATTTACAAACATATAAATATATAATCTTTCTTATTAATTATATATTTTATTTTATTTTGATAAATAAAAATACGCATATTTCTTTGATATTTTCTTTATGCAGTAAAAATGACTAAAAAAATATCGATAAACAAAATGTTGAGCTTTTATTTTTCTGTTTTTCTAAGTATTCTGCATCTATCAAGAACTATTATGACAAAAAGTAGCAATCGTCCAAAATATTATATCGTCAATTTTGTTTTTCCTTCGATTCAAGGACACGAAAACACATCTATCTGTCACAGTAATAAGGACAACAATAACAAAATAACAATATTATGATTTTCTTTCTTTCTTTTTGACATAAGAAAAAAAAAACGCACGTAACATGTCAAGGTTCACAAGGACAAACAGCATATGTTTATCGCGTCGTCAAATACAAAGAAAAAACAACGTGCTTTTTATTATTTTGTTCACATACAAGAATTTTGTTCGCGTTAGATATACACATTAATGAATTATTAGCAAGACTAAAAAATTTTCACAAACTGTTCTACACAACACACACACAAACACAAATAGATACAAAGTTTTTTTCAAACAAATACAAATAGGACTGTTTATTTGCTTTTTAGCGATACTTGAAGCATCGAATAATTAAAGTCACAAAACCGTCTGACGGTTCATTGCTGCATTTCCAAATAAAATTAAAAGACACATAAATTATTATGAATAAAACAATAAAACAAACATAAAACTTTAAAAATCCATTGAATTTGATGATTCTAAAAGTCTTTGAATATGTGTATGAATAGGTGTACTTTGATGCATCGAACCAACACAAAATAATCTTTCAAATATATCTTCTTTAACTTGATATATATTACATAAAAAGAAAACAATTTTCGAATATTTAACACGTGTTGAACACCATGACATTAATTTTGTTTGTGCTTGACATTCAGCTTTTTCAAATAAATTTCCACTTAAATTATTAAATAATGTTTTAGCTTCTTTATAAATAATCACTTCACGTATTAGATTAAAACCAATTTCATCAATTTCTAATGTTTTACCACGACTTATTAATGATTCAATTTGTTTAACATCATTTTCTGTTGGATGTACAATAGTGGTTGGCGATGATGATGATGATGGTATATCATTTGTTATTTGTAAATCTTTTGTAACATAAATTTCAAAACTATTTTCAATCATACTTGTTAATAATAAACGATGCCATATACGAGAAAGAAGTAAATATTTATCTTTATTATTGTCAAGTGTATTTTGTATAACAGAAAGTGATAATGTAAAAGTAACATTACGTTCAAGCCAATCATTAATACGTGCACCAATAACAGGCATTAATTTTTTTGGTATACAAACATAATCATTATTTGATTCAATATTTAAGGATTTTGGTGGACTTGTACATAGAGGTGAATTCGGTGGAGATGTTGATGATGATGAAGATGGACAACGAAAATTTGATGGTATAGGACCTTAAGAAAAAAAGAAAATGAAAATTTAGTTATAATAAAATAAAACTTACTATTATCATTTGTTCGATTATTTTTACGTAAATCAATTGGTACTGGTTTAAGTAATTTTTGTTGTTGTTGTCCTAATAGACGACTACTTTCAAGTAATGTTTGATATGTTTCTCGTCGATATGGTTGATCATTTGATTGAATATGATTATTATTATTATCACTTTGTGGTTGTGGTTTTCGACGTTCACGATTTTTTTCTAATGTTGATATTTTACTTCCATTTGTATTAGAATTTGCTGAAGCAGCTGCAGCTACAGCAGCAGCAGCAGCAGCCGCAGCCATCATTGGTGATGGTAATGGTAAATAACCCGATGCGGCTGCTGCATGTAATAATGCAGCAGGATAATTAACACGAAATTGTTGTGTTAAAGTATGCATAAGAGCATATTGAGCATAACCGATAGCAAGAGCTTCTTGTTGACTGTATGGAATGTTGTTATTATTATTATTATTATTTATTGTTGATGTTGGCATAGAAAAACCTGATGAAACTGTTGTTTCACTTGAGAATTTTTTATCTTTATTCAGTTCATCATAAAAATGAGCAAGTGATTTACGTTTTCGACTACCAGTTGATATTTGTGGTTGATTGTTGTTTTCAATTTGATTTGTACGGAATACCTATCACAAAAAATTATATTTTTTTTCTTTGTATAGACAATAACAATCATGTTTATTTTACAATTCAATATAAAACTGTAGTTAGATGACTCTTTACAAACGATTTCTTCTTTTTTTGCGTATATTGGAAAAGAAACGAAGTTTTTTATATATACTTACATGGACAATATTATTATCTGACAATGGACTTGATGATGAAACACCTGAATCGGATGCACAGGATTTTACTGAAGCTGA